CAGGACCACACAAACATATAAGGACACATCTACCGGATCCTCCCCCTCCCTGGGACCCTAGCACAGGAAGGGACTCTGTTTGCCCCCAATGCCCACCAGTGGAACCTCAGGGTTCCCCACACTAGCTGCCGGGGTCTTCTTCCCAGGAGCCTCTGTGTCTGGGAGTCCAGACATGGGAAAAAAGGACTGTCCCTCTGTTTCCCAGGCACAGAAAAGACCGCCCGCGGCAAAAGAACTAGTCTCTTTGTCCCTGCGGGTATCAAAAACTCGCCAGTGCCCCAAAAGCATCCACACCAACCTCAGGGACTCTCACAACAGCCCCTTTTGCAAACTGTCTCCATTTGCAGGGGCCCTATGTGGAAACCAGGCAACGGAAGCATCTCCTTTAGGGATATGAATGCTCCCTCTGGGTGCCGTTCGCCTATACGAAATGGCGGCCACCAAGGGGAGCACTCATTAATTACTTCCTTTGTGCTTTCACACTTATGTTGCGAGTGTGAGCGTTCTAATTGATTGGTGTGAACATTCTAAAGGATCACTAGAGATGCCCTCGTTTGGGAAACAAATGAGTCGGGAAACAATCCACGAACGCCCCCCCTGGCTGGCGTTCATCTGTACAGTCTGTACAGCCAGAGGAGAATTAATTGTTTCCCTTGCAGTTTGCATTTCGACACTATGTTGCGAGGTGTGAAAGCTCTAAACTAACATTCTAAATGGGGTGTATGGGGTGGTCCCTGTTCGGGAGACTAATTAATTACCTTCATGGGAGCACTACCAAATGGGTAGCGGACAGAAGATACAAAGAGGTGGGGAAATACACATAATATCAGACAGGCAATTCAGGGCCTGGCAGTGGTCCCGCCACAATAATATTATATACTATTAGTACAAAGGATGCTTGGGACTCCTTAGCATTCTTGATGTGGGTTAGCACATTTTTGGGGTGAAAGCTCCATAAACAGAACTCCTGTGCCCCTGTGTGATTAGGAGGTCCAGGGCCCAACTATATATTATCTTAACCCCTCTTTCACTGCATGCCGAATAAGGAGATAGGATTGAGTCTTGGGCTGCTTTGTGCGTGCTAAAGGCTCACAATTAACCCCTCATCTGACACATATTGAGATGGAGATGGGATGTAGCCTAAAAGCTCCTTCTGATTAAAACGTTTGTATGTTTATTTATTTGCTTAGTTGCTTCTTTAAAACTGTATATAAACTGCCAACAGGCCCATTTATTTATGTTTTACATTTTATCTTTTTCTGTTCTCTGTCACTAAATATTGAACTCCCTGAATCTGCCTCACAATAAACACTTTTTTTTTTAGAAATTAATTTGCTGTTTGTCTGTTTTTCCGTTTGTCTATACTTTGCTTTGCAATTTTACATTTTCTTCTAAATAATTATATTCCATATGTTGAATTGTAAAATTTGGGGATGATCAGTGAATTTGTACTCACTGTAACAAGACCCTTGTACTTCGTATAGTATGTTCGTTCGCACTCTCTCGAACTGTTAGAGGCTTGAGTGATTATAGCCCGTTCGCATAGTATGCTAATTCGTACTCTCCCAAAATCCAAGCTGGTCGTGGAAAAAATCAAGCACTTCTTCGTTCGCACACCCAAACATCAGTAGAGACTTGATGAAGGGTACAACTGGAATGCTTTATTATGGCCAGATGGACCACTTTTATACACAGCCCCCAGCATGGCGTTTCCAGCAAAAATATAGTAAAACCCGCCCCGGAGTCTCTGTGTCTGGCATATAATGGAGTGTACTTTGCTTAAATTAATTATCTCCCAGGCATTAGAGGTACAGAGAATAAAACATAAAACACCCCAAAACATATATAATATAAATAGGGACACCCTCAAATCCTATATCCCCAGCTAGCCTGGATCTGAGCACCAAAAGTGTCAAATAGCGCTCAGATTCCACAAATACAGCCGTATCGCCACCGGGGTGAAGTTTTGACCAACCGTACACATGAAGTCTGTCCAAAATAGCTCCAGGAGAATATTGGTAGCGGTCGGTCACTTTCGGCAGTCCCAAAATTAACACAATAGCAAACGGTTCCCCTGGCTCATAGTTAGAGATTGTTCCTCTAATTAATGCGTATCTTTTGTCCTGGCTTGTCGGGAAGAGAAGCAGGCGTTCGTACAAAGTTACCAGTGTTCGCGAGAGCGAGTGTCCGACTTAGAGTTCCAGACACTCGACGACCAAGTACCGCTGCCTGCTTTCGGGAGACAAGATGGCCGCCCAGGGAGAGCACTGTAGCGGAGCTGCAATATTAAATCTCACGATCTCCGCTGGTTAAGAAAGTAATCCAAAGTAAAGCGATGGAAAGTAAGGCAATATTCCAAATCCCCCAGTAACCGGACGAAACACAGTTCTGGGAGTCAACTGAGGTTTTTATTCAGAGGTCACAGTATTTATGCAAGTCCCCATGCAAGGGGTTTCCTGAGTCACATCACAGGGGTATCACAGTAGGGTACTACATGGGGGACTTAACAATCAGACCTTTTCTCCCATCAGGCACTGCTGCACGAGAGGGATACTCCCACTAGAATATACAGTTAAGTGGATTATCCCTCCATGCAGCAGAACCGGCATTTTACATTTAAATCTATAACTTTAACAATATTCAGTTTATTTAAACGAATGGACGTTCAGTAGATAGCTGAGGTCTAAGTGCACAGTTCGTGGGAATACCGCTCAGATCCCAGCTAAAACAACCGAACGCCGCACGAAATACACTTTGCCATTGAGTTCGCCCCAAAGTACCGAACACCGATGGGGAACCCTAATAGCGAAAGACCAGAGCTCCCGAACGGCCTGGAAGTCCAGCGGTGTTCACGCCGTCGAGCAGCCATTTTCAGTTCTACGTGCTCGACGACCAAACACCGCTGGGGAGACAAAGGATCCAAGATGGCCGACCGCCGCGTGGTGGGTAGCCGAACGGCGGCCACCTAGGAAAGCCTCTAATTACCGATTGCAACATTGTTGCAATCGGTTAACGAGCACCACACGTCCCTCTCTGTGTGGGCTATTAGGGGGTAGCTCATTCGGTTCACGAACAGCCGGTAAAGTGGCTGTTCGTGAAACGAAACACATGAATGCTATCGGCTTTCGGCTGCTAGCATATGAATTCAATACAAACATACATTAACCCACAGTAAGCCGAAAACATTTAAACATTGTAGTGCAGCAGTGTTCCGGACAACCTTTAAAGTCACAGCCATATAATCTGAAGTGGCTAGGTTTGCCACAAGCACTTAGTCTTGTGGTTATTATGAAGTTAAATGAGCCAGGGAGTGGTCGGTGTTCGGTAGATCAAACTACCGAATGCAGGAAAAAATAACTGGGGTAAGGAAATTACAGGGTTTGTCACACTCATTAATTAATTAAAACTAAAAAAAGTGCATCTATAAATCAAACGATTAAATGCAAATGTAACACAGAACTCAAGAAAAGGAATACTACAAATAGAAACAAATGCAAAGATCGTAACACTTTCATTCGTATGAATGGCGTACAGTCATCTGATACACTATGCAATAGATCCAAGAGAACTGCTAATATGACGATTACTATGTGATTATTATGTGATATTATGTGATTATCATTCACAAAGAGACATCTGGAAGACTATGTCTGTGTAAAGTGTAAAAGAGAAACACTGTGCACCTTGTAAAAATCGGTTACTGTTAAAGTTAGAGATATAATATCCCGCATCATATAATCATGCACGATACCTCACACTACTCCCTCCTATACACCACAAACTATTCCATCCTGTACACCACACACTACTCCCTCCTGTACACCACAAACTACTCCCTCCTGTACACCACACACTTCTCCCTCCTGTACACCACAAACTACTCCCTCCTGTACACCACACACTACTCCCTCCTGTACACTACAAACTACTCCCTCCTGTACACCACACACTACTCCCTCCTGTACACTACACACTACTCTCTCCTGTACACTACACACTACTCTCTCCTGTACTACACACTACTCCCTCCTGTATACCACACACTACTCCCTCCTGTACATCACACACTACTCTCTCCTGTATACCACACACTACTCTCTCCTGTACACTACACACTACTCTCTCCTGTAGACTACACACTACTCCTTCCTGTATACCACGCACTACTCCCTCCTGTACATCACACACTACTCTCTCCTGTATACCACACACTACTCTCTCCTGTACACTACACACTACTCTCTCCTGTAGACTACACACTACTCCTTCCTGTATACCACGCACTACTCCCTCCTGTACATCACACACTACTCTCTCCTGTATACCACACACTACTCTCTCCTGTACACTACACACTACTCTCTCCTGTAGACTACACACTACTCCCTCCTGTATACCACACACTACTCCCTCCTGTACATCACACACTACTCCCTCCTGTATACCACACACTACTCTCTCCTGTACACTACACACTACTCTCTCCTGTACACTACACACTACTCCTTCCTGTATACCACACACTACTCCCTCCTGTCTGTACACCATACACTATAATACAAGTAAATTCTACCAACTTGTTTTTTCCTTTGCCATTTCTGCTTCACTTCCACCGAACACCGATAACAGACATTTTTGTCTCATTGTTGACAGCACAATGTCTCTCTTTACTAATTCTAGCTAGGAGGGATCTTTCTGTTGAAAAATCGATAAATATAAACATTTTGATAAAACTGCTTATGCACCTGAGTTTATAATAAAAAATAAAAAAAAACAACATGGAGTGATACTGTAAAAAAGGAGCAAAATATAGAAGTATTCATTATTCTTATTCATTACCATCTCATCCGCTAGACATTCGTCCCTCTCTCAGCTGGGTCACCACATGGTTTACTGTGCGAAGCGATAAGGAGACGCACGTGGGCCACGATTAAGATGCTTCACTTGTAGGCTAGTGAAAGTGGCTGCGTCGTCACAATCACTTGCTGCCAGAACTTGATAAACTGTACACGTGTACAACGTCGGTTACATTTTTTTATGTGATAATATACTTCCTCTTTAAAAATAAAAATAAAGGGTATTGAGGGCACGTCTCTGTATCATTAAAGAGAGAAACTTGCCAACAAAAAAGATCTAGGTAAGGAATAGCCGCTTTCATTCTGATACAGTTAAACACTTTCTCATTTTATTTTTTATATATCTTTAATATTGTGAGCTGTACTACATGATGATGGCATGTACAATACAGCTGCAGTTTGGGGCAGTGGGAGAGCGCAGGTACAGTAGTCAACAAGGAAGAGGTATTTTAGAATGAGGGAGATGGGACAAATGCAAAATGCTGCAAAACATTTATTTTATTTTATTTTATTTACAGTTATAATTATTTATATTGCACAAACATATTCCACTGCGCTATCCAACAGGTTAAAAAGAGAAACAATTACTTTTAAAAAAAACATGCACATTTGACTTTTAAAATTGGGCACGCAAACTTACAGCAATTATTCAGGCAAAAAGCTTTAAAATGGTTAAAAGATGTTTTGCTGCCTAGAGTGTAGCACTCCCTTTGCGTATTTTATAGGGAAACTGAGAATAGTGTAGTTTTGGAAGGGACCCAGGGTCCCGCTGGCTATAAGTAACTTTAAGTAGGGGTTCTCTCTCAGTTGAAATAACTGCCAGGCTAAGAATTGTGTTAAACTAAAATACACATTTGCAGATATTAGTGTAAAAACGCCTAATGCAGTCTTACTGTTTCATGCCTGATGGAATCGTAATCTGTAAAAATAAATATAAATATGACTTCATATCTTTATGATTGGGTCAGACAGCTTGTTCTGGACTCCAAGTAAATGCCCAGACTATTCAAAATACCCCACACAGTGAGCAAATCATTGCCAGGCCAGTGAAAGAGAATCTTCTGTCCTTCACACCCATGAATGGACTCTTCAGGGAAAGTCTAGATTGCCAGTGAAATAATTCAGGAGAAAATAGTCAGAACAAAATATATGAAGGAAGTTACAGCATTATATCAGAGTATTTACTAAAGTAATTATTTTCAGGAATTTAAAATGAATTCCAAAGTTTAATTAGAATCATACCTTACTTGAAGAATGTTTGCACTTTGCTATTTTAACCTTAAATTTGAAATTCCTATTTATTTTCCCAACAACTCAGACGGAATAAATAACACTGTGTCTTTCTTCAGTTCTCGTCAGGAATGTCGTCATCAAGCCAAGTCCTCCTGATTCTCGGGTTCATACTCAGCATTTGCCATCTGAGCTCATGTCAGGACTACAGAAGATTTAGGGACAACCATGTAGTGATTGGTCATATGCAGATCAGCTGTGCTCAAATCGAGTCTGAGAGAAACATGTCCGACCAACACGGTGGCTGCAAAGAGAGTAACACCTTCATTCATGCAGAAAATGTGAAAACCATCACTAGAATCTGCAAAGGGAAAACCGAACACATGGACCGTGTCTTAAGTAAACACACCTTTCACGTTACGGATTGTGTGCTAGACCAGGACTCACTGTTTCCAAACTGCGCATTTCATCAGACTGAGGAGAAACGGCAAATATGTGTGAAATGCGTCAGATCCTTTCCCATCCTTCTTTACTCACCAGAGGAACATGCGTCCTGTAAACCTGAGCTGTGAGCCACGATGTATGGATTCTGAATAATACCCAGACATTGTAGTCTTTTACTTTAATTAAATGATACATATTATGTGTTTAATTCAATATGATGACTCTACCTGTAATATGTTTGATAAGGTATGTTTTATATTAATGGAGTTATTTGCGTTTCACAGTGATTTGTAGCTACAAATTGTTTAGGAAGTTAGCAATAATCCTTTAAATCAGTATAGGAAATGGTGCTATGAGTTACTAATCCCATTCATGGGCTGCATTAGGGGAATTTAATAGTTCAGTTTCATTGGCATCCATTAATTATTATATTTTATTTCCCACTGGGAGGAAATACTTTTTAAATACTGCTTGGCATAGCTTTTCATACACAGCCCAACAGAGGAGATGAAGTACGAAGTAGAGTTGTAATCAAAATTATTCAACCCCCATTTGTCAAAATTTGCAGACTTTCAGCTGTTTGCAATGAACACATCAGACAAAGGCAATTGAAATAGTTCAATACAACGAATGCTTCAGGAGGTTTCCCCAAATTGAACTGAAAATGCAATCTTATAAGGAATTCTCCAGTTTCAAAATTATTCAACCCCTTCATGGCAAGTACCTTTAGTACTTAGTAGAGCTCCATTTTGCTGTTATGAAATGCTGCAAATGAGATATATAGCCAGACAACACCTTCTGGCAGCGTCCCTGAGAAATCATAGCACATTGCTCATGAGCAATGGCCTCCAGTTCAGTAATTTTCTCGGGTTTGTGTGCTACAACTGCCTTCTTCAAATCCTACCAGAGATTTTCTATGGGGTTCAAGACAAGTGACTGTGATGGCCACTGTAGAGTTTTCCAGGACTTTTTCTGCAACCAAGCCTTGGTGGAATTTGAGGTATGTTCGGGATCATTGTCTTGTTTAAAGGTCCAATGACGCCAAAGCTTAAGCTTTCTCACAGACGGCATAACGTTTTCTCCTAGGATTTCCTAATATGTCAATGAATCTTGCCTTCCACATGCCAGTGCCAGAGGATGCAAGGCAGTCCCAGAGCATCATCGACCACCAGGCAGGCAGAGTGTTCTTTTCAGCGTATGCTTCATTCTTCTTCCTCCAGACATACCACTGATCCATTGGGCCAAAAAATTGTCCAGTTTTGTTTTGTCGCTCCACTGAACAGAATCCCCAAACTTCTGTGGCTCATTTATATGATTTTGAACTTGTGCTTTTGAGTCCGTAGTGGTGCACATCTTGGAGTTCTGGCATGGAAACCTTCTGTGTTTAGTAGAAGCCTTACTGTGTTCACTGAAATCTCAGTGCTTGTTGCCACCAAGTCTTGCTGCAGATCTTTTGCAGCAACTCAATGTTTTTTCAGAACCTTCCTTCTCAGAAACATGGTTGCACTCATTGATAGCTTATTTTTTCTGCCCACTCCAGGTAGTGTAACCAATAATCCTTTAACTCAACTGGTGAACTATGCTTCCAAGTTATCTCTAGGAGTATGCAGTGCCTTCAATATCTTTTTGTATGCTGTTCCTTGTTTGTGAAGGGTGATGATCTCCATTCTTTGATGACCATTCTTTTGACTTAGACATATTTCTAACATGCAGTCAAACGTGACACTCAACAAACCCCTAGCCAGTTCAGGTATTTCAAGTGTTCCAGCTCAAGCACACCTGATGCAGCTAATGAAGCCCTTGATTAGTTGCATCCGGTGTGCTTGAGACAACACCTGTTTTACACATTTGTGCTGTTGTGAGGGATTCTATTCAGGAGGCTGAATAATTTTTAGACTGGAGAAGTCCTTGTAAGTTGCATGTTCAGTTGAATTTGAGGAAACTTCTTAAAGCAGTCTATATGTTGAGTTGTTGCAATTGCTTTTGTTTGATTTGTTCATTGCAAACATCTTAAAGTCTGTAAATGTTAAAACTTTCTGTAAAAAATGAACCTGATTTTAAATGTGGTTTGATTAATTTTGATTACAACTGTAGATCTTTGCTTAGATTATTTTCATCACCTTGTGGTACCCACGGGTACAGGAGCACCAGCCTAATGTAAGCACAGAAAGAATCCGTACAAATCAGTTATCTGAGATTATATCAACAAACGGATGGGGCCTGTTAAAATATAAGAATACACAAAAGAAAATTTGGAAAACAGTATTTGTGGAATTTGAGCCGAACCACAGCCCCACTCCAGACCAATTAGGGAACCTCAAAACCTGCTTATGAAATCTTCCTTTTTCTTTTGTTAATTTACCAGAATTCAATAACAAGAGAATAAGATTCTTTAGTGATCGGTAAACTACCACACAGCGTTATTAGCTAACGTGAGAATTCGGTGAATTTCAAATTTAAAGCCAAAATAAAATGTCTGAGTAAGCTCTACTTTCTGATTGGCAGCAAATTTACTTTGAATAGATGGTGAATTCTCACTTCAGTAAATAACCCTGGCAGTGTACTATGTTTCTAGTGACCTCCAGTGGCTGAACTCAAAACTGAACAGTTCCGTTTTCTCGTGCAGTTCAGAACAATTTTTCTTTATAGACTTTCACAGCTGTAATTAAACCACAGGCAGTGAGGCAGGCATTCATCAAATATTACACAATTCCAATTAGTTTTCTAAAAATTAAGGGTTTGTTTCTTTAGCATCCACTTCATCTTACATCCATTCCTATCAGATCTTCAACTCCAGAACAGACATGCAGAGCTTGAGAACGTCCGTCTAGCGTCCGGTAGGTGACCAAAAGCTGCCTAGCAAGTAGGAAGTGCCTCTAGTGGCTGTCTGGTCTTGGTGTGTATGGTGTCCCTTTAATATTTTCACTATTTAACCAAATGAAAGATGTCCCTGAAGGGTTAAAATTAAACATAAGATGCCCGCATCACACCTATCTGGAGGTAATGTTTTGTGACACCCAAGGTTCTACAGTCATTGATTTATAGGAATTATATTTTAGCCTCTATAAACATTAAGCTGTGATTTTTTTTTTTTTAAATGAAGTGAGGCTGTTTTTTATGCATCTTCCGACGATGGAAACAGTGGTGATTCTATTACCGTGCAGATCCCGAAGCTGTGAAGTTAGAAATTGTGTCTATGAATGCTTCCTTATAATGGGCTGCATGAGTCCAGGATGAAGGATAAGGATTCGGGGAAGAGTAAGAGGTTACAGTTAAGATTTAAACTCTAGAAGCTGTTTTTGTGTCTGTAGGCAGCTTCACTTCCACTCAAACCCAGTGTGATTAATGGTTTATCCTGGATCCTATCCAGTCCATACAAACTCATACTCTGTGTCAATATTAAAGGAACACGATAACATTAAGAATACAAACCTGCGTTCCTGATTTAGATCCATTTTAGAGCTCCCGCCAGTGCTCTAAAAGTCCCAGTCAATGCTCCATAAGGCTAGCTGGGAAAGCCGAGTTTGACTCATTTCTCAGAGCAGAAGCACCTGTAGTAGTTATCTGCTAGACAGCCACTAGGGGAGTATTTGCTGTATCTACTAAAATACAATGGATTCCATTGCACAGTTAAAACTAAAGGGCCACTATATACAGACCATTTCATTGAGATTAACTGATCTGATTGCCTTTAGTGGTATTTAATGAATCCCACCAAAATAGTTTAATTTAGGGTTTTTTTCTGAGCAAGGCTGTGTGATGTTTTAGATTACGTTAACTTTCCCATTGCCACAAACCCTAACATTTGTAATTTTTTGGTATATGTGTCTTTGGCTTTAAAATTAATTACATTGATAAGAAATGGCTGAAGGATACATTTTCGTTAAATACAGTTTGGAAATAACACTCTGCATCCTCTTGTGTTCGTATAAAACACATTGTTTAGATTGTAAGCTCACTTGGACATGGTGCTATTTTCCTTCTCTGCATGTTATTGCTTTTTGTCCATCTATATTTTGCTGCATATATTCCATTTAAAAATCTGCTAATTTTGTTTCATGTGAAAAAAATTACCTTTTGTATTGAGAGCATTGAATAATATTACAAAAAAAGATTTTAAAAAAATGCAATGAAAAATTAAGCAAAAAAAGTGGGTTAATCTATTGATTCTGTAATTTATTTGGAATAAAGATCATAAAACAATTAGTTCTGTTTCTAAGCAAATAAAAAGATATTTAACTTTAATCATTTTTAATCTTTTACAAAATGTAATTTCGCAGCCTTTGTAACTGTGTGTTCTCTAAAACACTTGATCAAATATTTAGCTTACTAATAAAGTAATAGGACATGCACAATTTATAAAAACAGCGTTAGATCAAGAATCGTTCTTTCATGGAACCATCAAGCCGATTTGTCATTTTATTATTGTAAAAGACATTCACAGGCACTATGCCTTAATAAATGTTGGGGGAATCCTCAAGAGCTTGCAATCAGCGATAGCATTTTGTGGTCCCATAAAGTAATGTCTAACTGTCTCATTTTGGGGGAGACATACTTGTATAAAGTTGTAGAAGAAGGCAGAAATTCAGGCGCTGGGATCGTTGATGAATGTTGAGCCCAATCTGGCTGTAAAATAGAGAATATTAAAGAATAGATGGTCATTACAGACACCCCAACATGCAAAATCTCATTTCAGGGAGTTGGCTTCACCAGCTACTGACTCCCCCACCCCCCACCACACACACATACACTCACACAGCCACATAAGATGTACACTCAGATATACACACACTGGCATACAGAAGGATACACACACACAGACATACAGATACACACTGGCACATACTCACAGATACATACACTGAAATACAGATACACACTGGCACATACACACAGATATACACACTGAGATACACATACACACCGACGCACACAGATACACACACTGGCACATACACACAGATACACGCATTGTCACAGAAATACACTCACTGAAACACAGATACACACCTTGGCTGATGGGAGTGAGCATGCAGCAGCTCTCTCTAGCCTCTCCTCTACCTCCCTGCTGCTTTCTGCAGTGCCGCCCCTGCCTCTGGCTATCTACCTCCTGCGCATGATCTGCTGTCACTTCACCCCAGCCAGTCGATATCACAGGAACAGGTCGAGCTTTTAAAGGGCCGTCAACTGACTGGGCCCCTGTTTAGTGATAATACCCATCTAGTGGCCGCAAATTATATAAAATATCCGGGAAATCACACAAACATACAATCTGATATACATAGTGTGTCAGATTGTTTGATTTCAGGGATATTGTAAATGATTTGCTGGTGTCAGAGAGCCGCTAGGAAAATCCGGGAGACTTGGGATTTCCGTCATTATACTGAAAACAATATATTCTCTATGTTATAAAAGAGAAATCAGGGTTCACAATAAGATATATAGATTTATACATGAAGGGTTACTTAAAGGAACACTGTAGCGTTAGGAATACAAACATGTATTCCTTACGTGCTAGTTTTAATCAAACTATATTTATTTTTCCCCCTGTGAGGGTTTAAATGTTAGGTTTTATTTGCCTGTCTTCCCTTGTCATGCTGCCCTTGCCATGATCTCTACCCCTCCCTGGGAGGCTAGTGTGCATGCGCGTCAAATTACTGAGCTGCACCCATCAAATGTTATCTAGGAGAACAGAGTATGAATTGGTTCTCATAGGGAAAGCACCTCGGCTGCCAACCAGTAATAAGAAGTATTATAAGGAGGGTTATATGGAGTAATAGGAGGAGTTATAGGGAGGGTTATATGGAGTTATAGAAGGAGTTATAGGGATGGCTATATGGAGTAATAGGAGGGGTTATAGGGAGGGCTATATGGAGTAATAGGAGGAGTTATAGTGAGGGTTATATGGAGTAATAGGAGGAGTTATAGGGAGGGCTATATGGAGTAATAGGAGGAGTTATAGGGAGAGTTATATGGAGTAATAGGAGGGGTTATAGAGAAAGTTATATGGAGTAATAGGAGGAGTTATAGTGAGGGTTATATGGAGTAATAGGAGGAGTTATAGGGAGGGTTATAGGGAGTAATAGGGGGGTTATAGGGAGGATATGGTTATATGGAGTTATATGGAGGGAGGGGTTATAGAGAAAGCTATATGGAGGGGGGGAGTTATAGGCTATATGGAGTAAGTATAGGAGGAGTATATAGGAGGAGGTATATATGGAGTAATAGGGGGGGGTTATAGAGAGGAGAAAGTTATATGGAGAGTAGGGGGAGGGAGTTATAGGGAGGGTTATATGGAGTAATAGGAGGAGTTATAGGGAGGGCTATATGGAGTAATAGGAGGAGTTATAGGGAGGTTATATGGAGTAATAGGAGGGGTTATGGAGTTATATGGAGGGGGGAGTTATAGGGAGGGTTATATGGAGTAATAGGAGGAGTTATAGGGAGGGCTATATGGAGTAATAGGAGGAGTTATAGGGAGGGTTATATGGGTAATATTATAGTGAGGGTTATATAGTAATAGGAGGAGTTATAGGGAGGGTTATATGGAGTAATAGGAGGAGTTATAGGGAGGGCTATATGGAGTAATAGGAGGAGTTATAGGGAGGGTTATATGGAGTAATAGGGAGGAGTTATAGGGAGGGTTATATGGAGTTAAGTATAGGGAGGAGTTATAGGAGGAGGGCTATATGGATTAATAGGAGGAGTTATAGGGAGGGCTATATGGATTAATAGGAGGAGTTATAGGGAGCGTTATATGGAGTAATAGGAGGAGTTATAGGGAGGGTTATATGGAGTAATAGGAGGAGTTATAGGGAGGGTTATATGGAGTAATAGGAGGAGTTATAGGGAGGGTTATATGGAGCAATAGGAGGAGTTATAGGGAGGGTTATATGGAGTAATAGGAGGAGTTATAGGGAGGGTTATATGGAGTAATAGGAGGAGTTATAGGGAGGGTTATATGGAGTAATAGGAGGAGTTATAGGGAGGGTTATATGGAGTAATAGGAGGTGTTATAGGGAGGGTTATATGGAGTAATAGGAGGCGTTATAGGGAGGGTTATATGGAGTAATAGGAGGTGTTATAGGGACGGTTATATGGAGTAATAGGAGGGGTTATAGTGAGGGTTATATGGAGTAATAGGAGGAGTTATAGGGAGCGTTATATGGAGTAATAGAAGGAGTTATAAGGAGGGGTTATAGGGAGGGTTATATGGAGTAATAGGAGGATTATATGGAGTAATAGGAGGAGTTATAGGGAGGGTTATATGGAGTAATAGGAGGAGTTATAGGGAGGGTTATATGGAGTAATAGGAGGAGTTATAGTGAGGGTTATATGGAGTAATAGGAGGAGTTATAGGGAGGATTATATGGAGTAATAGGAGGAGTTATAGGGAGGGTTATATGGAGTAATAGGAGGAGTTATAGGGAGGATTATATGGAGTAATAGGAGGAGTTATAGGGAGGGTTATATGGAGTAATAGGAGGCGTTATAGGGAGGTTCTATGGAGTAATAGGAGGAGTTATAGGGAGGGTTATATGGAGTAATAAGGGGTTATTGTGACTAATATTAAGATTGTTATGGTTATAAGAAGTTAATGAGAAGAACTAGTGATGCTTTCTGGATTATTAGACTATAAGAGTCACACAGATTGCCATACTGAGCATTGAGATGAGCTGTATGGAGTCAGTATATTTATTATTAGGAGCACAATTCTGAAATTATTATTATTAGTTTATATGAAGTTGTGAATTTCTTACCTTTTCTGCCTTTTTCCCACATTATGAATCCAAACACAGAGACTAACACGAACAGAATGATGAGAAGTGTGATGAGGATCACTATCCCGATGGAGGGAATTACGTTAATATTGCTGTTGGACTCTGCGAGGCCAGATCTCTCTGTATGAAAACAAAATATCATTTATATCATTTATATGATTAATAAGATGCAAACGGGAGAGAGAGATTACTCTGTTCACACAGAGGGAGAGAGAGAGAGAGCTCAGTCTGTACATACAGAGAGAGAGAGAGAGAAAGAGAGCTCAGTCTGTTCATACACAGAGAGAGAGCTCAGTCCGTTCATACACAGAGAGAGAGCTCAGTCTGTACATACAGAGAGAGAGAGAGAGGGAGAGAGCTCAGTCTGTACACAGAGAGAAAGAGAGAGCTAGGTCTCTACATACAGAGAGAGAGAGCTCAGTCTCTACATACAGAGAGAGAGCTCAGTCTGTACATACAGAGAGAGAGAGAGAGAGCTCAGTCTGTACATACAGAGAGTATATATATATATTATTACTCCTACTTACTCCATAGTATAGATGTCGGACCCTCCAGGCTGCTGTGGTTTACCAGGCAGATGTATGCATCTTCTGATATCGAGGATATATTGACCGAAATAGAGGATAAATAGGTCTGATCAGTGAGAGGCAGTGTCAGCCTCTCCAATTCCCCATCAGGTATAATCTGTCCATTCTTGTACCAGGTCATATCAATTTTTCTGGGGTAATGTCCATATGCTTTGCAGTACAGTGTATCACCACTAGAGAGCACTATTACATCTGGTACAACTGTAATGAGAAAAAATGCAATGTATCACAAATTACTATACCTACAGGCATAACTGCAATAAGACAATAAAATAAGGGCATGCGGAATTCTCTAATTATGGAAAAATTGTGATAACTTGCAACTTGCTTAGCTTGCTGTTTTTTTTCAATGTCAAAGCTTTTGTTGTTTTACAATATCACAATAGATAAGCATTCATGTACACGAAGCAACAAAAAAGACAAAAGATACATTTCCTCATCCAGTCCCATATACAATCGGCACAGCACAATAAGGATGAATAGAAGGACCATGTTAAGCATCTTTCAAATACATTCTGAGATAGTGAGTCAAATGTCCTTGCAGTGCTGTGAGTAAGCACGTATCCTTTGGTCTCTGTGGGTTCATTTAATAATAAACCCAACACGAATGAAAAGTGAAAAGGGGGAGAAAAAGCAAGGAGAGAGAGAAGATAAAACATCAGTGGATATATCATATGATATGTGTTACAGCGAAGTGAAGACAATATTAGAAAGTACCTTCCCTCCGTTGGTGAATATGACACATCAGTTGGCATATGTATGTTATCTCGAATAAACAACTCAAAGTTATCTAGAATAAACAACTCGAAGTACATGTAATTGCGGCCCATTTACTAAACACTGGGTATGCATGTTGGTTAAGCAACTTTTTTAATTTTTTTATTTATTTATATCACCTTGTCAATATATTTCTGTTTGACTGTCTGCCACCCTGTCCAATCTTTAGCATAGTCTACATCCCTTCCCTGCAACCTGTATGCAATTTTTTCAAAGTGTGAAGAGGCCCAACCATGACACCCCGAAGTCCTCCCATTTATGTGGCTGTCCATCTAATTTATGCAAACGAGCTACATGGTTTTCTCATATCAAGAGAGAGTGAGATTTCATCAATTTAATCGGAGATCCGTATTGGTAGTGCCTGTGTTTTTTTAATGTAATTCTTGTAGTATGATATTTTGACATATGTATCTAGAAGTTGCGTCAGCGAAGGGATCGCGGTGTCTGGCTTACATAACAGCAGTAGGACATTGTCAGGGAAGAGCGCTATTTTATGTTCCCCACATGGTGTTGGAAGTCCGCTGATGAGTGGATGTTATATGTCTAACTAAAGGTTCCAATCTGAGGATAAAAATTATTGGCTAGAGCTGGCAACCCTGATTAGGGCCATTTGTTATTTATAGTGGATGTGACGAAAGTAACCTTGTCACTGGCTTTAGGAGGGGCCTGTTTGCCAGCCTCCTACCCTGTGATTATGGCCCTGTGACAAACTGAACCTCGTCGCGGGTTCTTGGAGGGGCCTGCTAGCAAGCCTCTTGCCTCAGGACTTTGGGCCTTGCAATATACCTTGCCAAATGCACTTTAAAAGGCTCTGTTCATGTGAAGTATGCACTTTTGTACTCCAGACAAAGAGACCGACCGTTAGCCCTAATTCTCTGGAACTGTTTTGGGCATGGGACCATGTGCACGGTGGGTCAAAATTAAAGCTGAAGTGTTCTGCTTTACTATGATCTCCCTTTAAAGGGCCACTACAGGCCCTAAAACATCTTCAGAGATCATTCCCTCTGCAGTCTCACTGCTCAATTTTCTGCCATTTTAGAGTTAAATCACTTTGTTTATAGAGCCTAGTCACACTTCCCTGCATGTCATTTGCATAGCATTCCTAAACACTTCCTGTAAAGAGAGCGCTAATGTTTAAACTTCCTTTATTGCGCATTCTGTTTAATTTAGAGTTTCTTATCTCCTTATCTCCTGTTCTGTATAGTCTTCTAGGTCCTAAACTTGCCTTCTATGTCTGATTAAAATTCCATTTACCAAGCAGGAGATAAAAACTTTTAAAACAAGTTAACATCTGATTCAAAATGAAACCATTTTTGTATGCAGACTGTGTGAGTCACAGCCAGGGGGGTTGGCAAGGGATGCATAAACAGAAATAAAACTGATTTAACTTCTAAATAGCATAGAATTGAGCAGTTAGACTGCAGGGGCATGATCTATCAAAACCTTTTAACTCGTGACCATGATTTCCAGTCACCATATTCCTGGTGGGTTTTTTTCGATCTCAGAGTAGAAGGATAGTGTTTTCCTCTTAGACTGTAGATAAACAGAAAGAAAGGTTTCTCCAAGGATTGGGTGGAATATCTTTTACAAAAAGAGATACATCAGAAATGATTGTTTTCAGTGGGGTTCATTGTATTACTTGGGGTCTGGTTCTACTGATTGTACTGACGCTTTTTGACTGATACAATAAACTGATATTTACTTGGTTGGGTTGCACAGTTCTTGATAAGGCAGCTATAGAACTATTTGTATCCAATCTATTGTCACCTTGCTGTCATCCCTAGATGTGGTCTGGTAGTTTGGGGGAATTGTTAACTTGTTACTAACTAAGCAGATAGGATAGTGCTTCCTTGTATCATTTACATCTGAACATAAATATTCCTGTAAAGGGGGGTCCAGGAAATGGCAGAGAAATTTAAATGCAGCCATATAGCACTTAGAGCTGCAATACACATTTATTGACAGTGATGGTGGCTCCATCTGCTGAGGTTCCTCTACGGAGGGGTAAAACAGAATAAAAAGTGAGGGATTGATCCAGGACTAAATTTATGTTACATTCTCTCCGAGGCTTTTCTAATACAAGGGGTCCTTTATATAAACACTTTGAACAGCACTGCGGAATTTGTTGGCGCAACATAAATAATAATATAAAACTACTCCTAACTTGCACTTCAATTAACCCTTGCTTCCTCTTTTAAGGTATAAAGGTAGAAATTTTGCACAAAGCTTTGTGTACAGAAATTGGCCACCATTACTCCCCCATAGATGCATTACTTCCTCCCCTTCAGCTCATTTTCATTGAATAAATTAAAATAATTTGTTTTCACCTTTTCTGTTGATGTATTCTTGCCCGTCCATCACTAATAAATTGAGGACATTCTCACAGAACGTAGTCAGTTCTTCTATTCTCATTTCTGCTCCTGTTCTGTTTGCGTTCAGATTATCCAGCATTTTCTGAGTGCGGTTTATTTCCGAGGAATAGTTTCCAGTGTCCGTGTCAAACCTCCACAATTCTACTCCTCTATACGCAGTCTGGTGATATGATTGGAAAGAGCCATTCTCAAATTTTTCGCAGCCATGAAAGACTTGCTGAGTGTCGTTACCTGAGAGACAGAAATCGCGTTAGTAACAAAACATGAATGCAAATGACTCCCGGAGATAAAAGATGTTATACGTCAACTCTCATGACTCTCATCAAGCCCTTTGGCTTCCAGACAACTGACTAAAAATCATGGAAGATGGTAAAAAAAAATCTGTTGGCTTTATATATAGGGTGAATTATTTATTAGTGCCACTGACATTTCCTTAAAACATTTTCACAGGTGGAATGAAGGACAGAAATATTGCTTTAAAAATGTTATTGCAGTGTGTCATACTTATACAATTAATACATTCTGCCACTGCCACATATAAACCCACAAGCTGCGCCCCATGCACACAACACCACAAGCAACCTCCCCTAAACACAACACCATACTCATACATACAACACAGAGTCAGATTGAGATTGTCCTGGGCCCTAGGCCTTATGAGCCGTGGCTGAGTGTTGTATGTGTGTGAGCATGACTGAATGTTGTGTGGTGGGGAGGCTGAGTGTAGCTCAGTATTGTGTATGAGGTAGCTGAGTGATATATTTGTTCAGGGAGTATGAGTGTTGTCAGTATATTTATATCGGCAGACATTTTGTGTTAAGACAGAAATTAAAAGTGTATACTGTCAGTCACCCTCAGAACAGAAGTGACTCCATTTTGTATTACAAGGCTGAGACAGACACAAGATTTCTCTCTCTATCACTCTATTCATTCAAGTCTGAGCTAAGGAATGCGACTTATGTAAACATTAGAAATAAGACATAATGTTTGCAGCAAAAGAGGGGTTGAATGCGATATATACACAATATCCACTTATAACTACCTATAAGCATATATATCATATATAATTAGTATTATGTTAATAATATAGACTATTCATGGATAAATATAAATGAAGAAATATCATATTATTTACTAATGTAAGTGGAGTATAAATAATCTTAAACACAGTTTCACACAAGAAAACCAGACAGATCACCAAATTTAATTAACCCATTATCCAAAAATGTAAATGGACCCCTGACAAGAATTTTTGGTATGTAATTGTCCCACCTATTGACCAAAATCTAGATGATAGTCTGTAGGGAAGACACACAGTTCCCTATTGATCCTATCCAGGGCCAGATTAACAGCCCAGTGGGCCTGGTGCTGACAATTATGACGGGCCTAATTAAAGAATCATATCGACCAAAAACACTCCCAAGCGTCATGTATCTGATGGAGATGGTGCTGGAGAGAAAGAAAACAGCAGCTATAAGAAAACACATACTCTATGCTAATCTCTCTCTAATTTATGTTTTCATATTTCAAGTAAATCCATAACCCCTAACAGCAGTGTCCAGTCAAGCAAGAAGTCAATGGGTAAAAGGGTGTGCCACTGACACAAATCACGTAACCTGCCAAAAGGGGCGAACATGCCCAAAAAGAGGACATGTCTGCCCAAAGAATTAGAAGGCCAGCCTGGCATGAATGCATGTCAGACTGCCTGCCAATCATGCAGCTGGCCAACTAAGGGCATACTATGCAGACAGCACCCTGAGCTTGGCATAAATGCATCTAATGATGCGCTCGCTCAACGCTTTCTAAGGACTGTCCCCTAGCACTCGCTGGTCCACTTGTCTCCTTACCTTCTTACTAGCAGGCAGACGCTCCTGGTATATAGTCTGGGACAGAGAAAAGCTGTATGTAGTGAGTGTAGAAGAAAGGGAACATGCCACAGTGTTAGAGAGACCAAAGTCAGCATTACCTTAAAGGATCACTATAGGGTCAGGAACACAAACATGAATTCCTGACCCTATAGTGTTAACACCACCATCTAACCTAATGCCTCCATAAATATAGTAAAAATCTTACTGTATTCAAGCCTGAAGCTGTAACTCTGCATGCTGTTAGACTCAGAAAAACAAGCAGTCTGCTGACATCATTAGAAGTGGTGGCCTGATCCAGTCACAGTGCTTCCCCATAGGATTGGTTGAGTCTGACAAAACGGCAGATCAGGGGCAGAGCCAACATGATTCAAACACAGCCCTGGCCAATCAGCATCTCCTCATAGAGATGAATTGAATAAATGAATCTCTATGAGGAAAGTTCAGTGTCTGCATGCAGAGGGAGGAGACACTGAATGTTTGGATGCATTTTAGGCAGCCATGACTCAGGAAGGATCTCTAACAGCCATCCAAGGAGTGGCCAGTGAAGTTATCACTAGGCTGTAATGTAAAGACTGCATTTTCTCTGAAAAGACAGTGTTTACAGCAAAAAGCCTGAAGGTAATGATTCTACTAACCAGAACAAATTCAATAAGCTGTAGTTGTCCTTGTGACTATAGTGTCCCTTTAACTATATTCATTGTCAGCCAGTCCACACAAGTTTTGTTCCCATACATCCCTCTTAAGTTTCCATACTTAAGTAAAAGTATGTGAAAAGTAGTTAGGGTTGCCACCTTACTTGGAAAAACATACCGGCTTTACTAATTTGCATAATTAAATATGTATGGGTGACATCACATGATGTAAATCACAAGGAGTGACATAAGAGAAAATGCTGTAAAATCACCAAACAACTACTTAGTTTGATTATGTTGTATAGATGGATTCCTCCCAGTGCCCCCATGTTTCCCAGTGCTCCATGTGTTGATTACTCCAGGTCTCAGCGTTCCTATGTATCAGTGTCTCAGTGCCCCATGTCTCCCAGTGTCCCCAGGTCTCCCAGTGACCCTATGTATCACAGTGTCCTTATGTATCACAGTGTCTCAATGCCCCATGTCTCCCTGTGTCCTCCAGTATTCCCATGTGTCTATGTCCCCATGTATGTGTCACTAGGACACTAGGAAGACGGGGAGACCTAGGGACACGGAGACACCAGTGACACTGGGAAACTAGGGGACACTGGCTGGGACACTGGGGGAAATAGGGGACACTTGAAGACATGGGGACACAGACACTAGAGACACTGGCTGGGGGACATGGGGACATTGAGACATGGGGGCACTAGGAGACATGGGAACACTGAGACACCACGGCCACAGACACTAGGGACACTAGCTTGGAGACATGGGGACATTGAGACACTTGAGGCACTGGGAGACATGGAGGCACTAGGAGACATGAGAACAGTGAGACACTGGGAGACTAGGGGGCACTGAGACACCAGGGACACTGGCTGGGAGACATGGGGACAATGTGTCCCCATGTGTCTGTGTCATAATGTCTCCCAATGTCCCTTAGTGTCTCAGTGTCTGCCATAATGTCTCCCAGTGTCCCTTAGTGTCTCAGTGTATGTCTCCTTGCAGCCTTTCCCCCATCCCTTACTTCCCTGAGCTGTAGCCTGTCTCTGCAGGGTGGGAGTTGCTGTCTGGACTCTCTGTAGCTGCACCCCTGCAGATCAGTGAGTATAGATAGGCAGGGAAGCGATATGCTGGCACTTCCTATCCCTGCCTGTCTCAACACACAGCGACCCCTACTGGCCAGTGCTGGTATTGCATAGTAATCTCTTGTTTATACTGAGAAAAATACCAGAATTTGTATTGCCAATATCACTGCAATTTTGGCACCAGCCAGGCAGCCTCAAATACTGGCTGTGCCAATAAAATAAAAGCCAGGTGGAATCCTTAAGAGTAGTGTGTGGAAAAAAAAAATGCAAATTTTTTTTTTTTTTTTTTTTTAAATCAATGGGCCTATTCCATGGGCCTGGGCCTGGAGCTGCAGCTCCATCAGCCCCTATGTTAATCCGGCCCTGATCCTATCGACTGGTGACGTGCAGAGAATTTGCCCCTTTAAAAGTAAGGACAAAGGGAAGAGAAAGAACACACTCTCAAACTCTCGAGGACTTACACATTCTGACTCTTGGACACTCTAAACATTCTCTTGGACCCACATCTAACAGCTAAGATCTGACATCTGAATCAAAAGCTGGAGACACCTAATTCTTTATCTTTTCCAACTAACACAACTTCAGAACTCTGAAAACTTTCCTATTTTCCACAATTCTCATCATACTTGCATTCGAAATTCCTGGGACATATCTATACATCTGATAGAAAATCTACAACCTAACTGGTAATTATATTGGTTTAATTAAATTAAATTAAATTAAAGGACCACTATAGGTACCCAGACCACTTCAGCTAAATGAAGTGGTCTGGGTGCCAGGTCCATCTAGGATTAATCCTCTCTGCTGTAAACATAGCAGTTTCAGAGAAACTGCTATGTTTACATATGGGTTAATCCAGCCTCTAGTGGTTGTCTCATTGACAGCCGCTAGAGGCGTTTCCGCACTTCTTACTATGATTTTCACAGTGAGAAGACGCCAGCGTCCATAGGAAAGCATTGAGAATGCTTTCCTATGGACTGGCTGAATACGCGCGCGGCTCTTGCCGCGCATGCGTATTCAGCCGATGACATCAGAAGAGGGAGGAGAGTCCCCAGCACCGAGGGAGCCCGGCTCTGGAAAAAAGGTAAGTGATTAACCCCTTTCCTCCCCCTTCAGCGCAGCGGGAGTGGGACCCTGAGGGTGGGGGCACCCATAGGGCACTATAGTGCCAGGAATACGAGTTTGTTTTCCTGACACTATAGTGGTCCTTTAATAATTTTTTACTAATAGCAGGAATATATATCTGGATAAATATTGGTCAGATTTCAATTATTAGAAATCATAGTTAGCTAAGGAATATATGGTTATAAAAATTCCATTCCTGCAGGTGGAATAAAGATAACGATATATTAACGGTAAATTTGACAAATGTTAGCATACCAAATTTTTATCCAGGTATTGACTTCTTCTGATATAAAACAGATAATCTTCATTAGGAAAGTTAAAATTCTGCAAACGTAAAATCTGGTTAGAATTATTCTTATTGGATGGTCCTAGGAATGGTGAATGATCTGGTATGAGGATTGTAGCTAGCAATGAATGAGTTAATTCAGTGTGATTTGACTGTCAGACAAAGTTTTTATTGCTTTACGCTGTGCTGCTGTGTTCTGTGAACTTATTTCTAAGTGAAGTAGTGTCCTATCGTAAATCTTGTTAAATTGCCTACAACTGTCGCTATTTAGCCGTCTATATTGTGTTGAAACCATTGCCATATTGTATACTTAAGTTATACCTAAATATCCACTGATTATTGTCACGCATGTTACATATTATTATTATTTTTATTATTATTGTCACAATAAATTATATTTTTATAATTAATTTGTGATTACTGTGTGAAGTAAAAATTCTCTAGTGAAACATCCTCTAGGATCTAAGATAATTAAAAGTGTGGGTAATTCTCAGCTTTATATAATTATTCGGGGAACAGTGCCAAGATATCAATTTTTGATATAATAAATTTTTTTGATAATTTTTATGAAAATATTATTTTTAATATTTATCACCAAATAAATATTCTCACAGTGTGCCTGTGGGTGGGGGTTCAGGCTTGTGTTTGTGATGGCTTATTGAAGATGTGTGTGGTGGCTTATTACAGCTGTATGTGGTGGCTGAATTTTGTTTGTAGAGGAGGCTGAGTGTTGTGTGTGTTAAGTGGAGGCTGAGCGTGACTGAGTTTTGTGTGTTGGGGGAGGATGTTGAGTGCATGGTGTGAGGTCTCCCCTCATAACTCTCCTTATATATTTTTTTTTTTAAGCTTGTCTACCTCCTTCTTATCGTTTGGAAGTCTCTGGTGGTCCTTTAGAGGACTCTCTGGGCTGGACCTTTAGTGTCTGCATGCAGTTCACTTTAAGAACTCTTTCACAGGAGTTTATGATGTATAGAAAAATACTGAGACAAAATAGTCCCTACTTTGTCTCTGTATATCTTTTGACTGGGTTGGAATTTTAGTGAAATTCCAACCCAGTCAAAATGAGTATTACATAAACATTCTATCTGTATGAAATACTCATTCTGGAGGGGGGAGTGGTTTACAGAGTTGCTTTTACTTCCTTAATATACATTTAGTCATCGCATGAGCAAAACTGTATTTTGTATCTAGTGTTTTAAATAACCGTTTTTATGCTAAATTTACATGATAATTATAGCAGCTTTTTGTTGGATGGGTTCCCGGATAACCCTGTTGGAACCTCTAAACTCATGATAACGCATATCCTGCTAGCTGCTAAACAAAGCTTTTTTTTTTACATATGAAGAAATGTCCCATAGAATATCGTGTACCTTACATAAGGTTAATAAGGTATGGGAACTTTGGCGTACTTATGACTTCACCCAACTAATAAATCTTAGTAGGCCTCCTTGATTTCTCCCAATATGTAATACCAGTACAGCAAGGGTTGTGACTGCATATATACTTTTGAATAGAGTATTGTTACAGTTTTTCTACTTCAATGATTTTGGTATCTGAATTACGGGTGATCTGTAGAGATGTCGCGAACTGTCCGCCGAACTGTTCGCGAACTGTCCGCCGGCGAACAATAACGTGTTCGCGTTGGGCGAACATATCCGATTTCCGGTCCGCCCCCTTACGTCATCATTGAGTAAACTTTGACCCGGAACCTCACAGTCAGCAGACACTTCCTGGGAGGGAGGGTCTTTTGCTGATTGGGTGGAATGTGTCTGCTGGCTGTGAGGTTCCGGGTCAAAGTTTACTCAATGATGACTTATAGGGGGCGGACCGGAAATCGGATATGTTCGCCCAACGCGAACACGCTATTGTTCGCCGGCGGACAGTTCGCGAACAGTTTGGCGGACAGTTCGCGACATCTCTAGTGATCTGTTGTGTAATTGTAAACTTGAAAACCTTAATTAAAATTAAAATATTTTTTTAAAAAATCATCATCATACTTTTGTGTGAGTGCACGTTATAATGCAAATTGCCTTCATACCCAATGAGGTATTCTTCATAAATTTTTCATCTCTCCAAAGTTCGAGCTGAAGATTGACCCAGGAATAGTTTGACGGCACCTTCTTTCTCCACGGGACGAGAGGGTCCAGCCAATTGTTATTGCTGTCGTACCAATACACGGGGATGTCATTCAGGTATAAATCAGCAAAAAAATCTGGATTTGAGATTGGAAGGTAGGTGTGATGATATGTCACGGTGTAGCTATCTGGGAAGAAAATAAAGACACCAATAACTTCTACTGAATAAAATATGCATTTATAGGATTACTTACTAAAGTGACAAATGTCAGGAGTTCAAAGTGGATTTCACATGTAAAAATTAAAATAGCCAAACTGGAATCATGGGTGACTTGGAGATTAGTTATATAATATTACGAAATTAATCCTTGGATTGGCAGCGTTGGCACACCCTCTGTGGCTCCTAGCTGGGCTGTGTGACTGCTGTAAAAATAAAGCTACTTCCTTGTATCTCAGGCTTCTCACATAATTATCTTTGTCCGCTGAGAGTCTCACACAGACCAGCTCTCCAAGTACCTGATAGCATTCCGCTTTAGTATGTGTGTGATCTAAGCCTAGCACATATATTCGGTGCTTAGAACCCTACTGTTCTTTATATATTGGCCGTATAAGGGTATATCCCACCTATATTTTAATTAAGGTATTTATGCGTTGTGTGTTATTTTGAGACTACATATCAATACTTTTTCATTTGGTTTTGATTTTTTTAATCTTTTTTTGTATTTTTAGTAGTTTTATCTCTGTGTCTGAAGCTGCCACTTTTTAAAGAAAGGAATATTCGTATTGCAACCTACATGTAAACCAGTAGTGGTACTTTTATTTTTTTTTAAAACATCTTATTCATTTGGACGTTCATCAAATGTACGGACGGTATCCCTGGCACAGCCTGACATTCAATGCAAATTCCAAATCTCCCATGATTCCCAGTGAGCAGAAAAAAAGTGTGCTTTATATGTTTTCTGGGGTGGGTAAAAAAGGAATTATCACCAGTTCCGCTGAGGTGTTTTTGCAGGGTTAAGACTGCCTTGAGTTACTGTTCATCACACAGCCACTAGAGGCACTGCTTCCTGTTTCAAAGAGTTTGACTCCGTAAAATGACCCTGGACATCCTCACAATTTACATGAGGATGTCCAGATTCTTCAAATCCCTTATAGGAAAGCACTGAATCACTGCTTCCTCGTGGGGAAAGTCTAATGCATGCGGCATTCGCCACACATGCAAGTTCAGTTCCCCCCTCAGCACTGACGTCGCAAGAGGAGGCAGAGAGGAAGCCAGTGCCAAAGGCACTGGAATAAGGTGAGTGGAAATAGGGTTTTATCCCTTTATTTGGTAGTTGGTGTGAGTGGGCAGAGGAACACTTTAGTGTTAAAAATACAGCTTTGTATTCCTAACACTAAATTGTTCCTTTAAACTAAAAATTGTGGAGATCTGACAAAGGAAGTTTACATTTTAGGCCACATATCGGAGTTGGATAATAGCTGAGCTAAGAAAGATTCATGTAGGAGATTTTTGTTCCTACCTCAACTGATTTGGCATAGAGGACCAACCCAGCCCCCCAATCTGCACCCATCCTGTTTTGCCAGGTAAGGACATGCATTTGTTGGCTAAAACTGTTATAAGATCACGCACAGGCTGTAAATTAAATAAACAGGTTCACACCCAGATCGACTCCAAAACCACACGCTCCATAGTCTTTAAATATTTTGCATTGACCCCCAAAAGTGACATCACCTTTAATGGTCTGGTGGCAGTCTGATGAAGTGGAAGTTAGCTGTACTTACCTGAAGTTGTTCCTCGCCTTGCCGCCTCCAATCTCTTTGTAAGAAATTATGACCCTTGTAGAGGATGGCCATGAGCTGCCCTGGGACTTACATTATGTTTAACTTGTATTAGTCTATTTGCCAAATGTCTATGCAGTAAGGGAATGCATTCATGTAGAATAGCAAAGTTCTATGTGTAAAATGTATTGGATTCGTCTGAATGTTAGGTAGTTTCATTCCCTTAGTTTGTTCGAATGAAACTACCGAACAATCAGACCTCCCCTAGGTGAAGTGTGCCTTCAATTACCCGTTGCAACATTGTTGCGAACGGGTAATTGACAAGCTGTGTAGCAATCCTTTGTTCTCGGAGGTGGCCGCCATTCGGGAAACGAACACGTGGCGGCGGCCATCTTAAACTCCCGAACAGCGGTGTTTTGCCGTCGAGTGTCTGGAACTCAAAACGGACACTCGACTAGGCGAACACCGCTGAGACCTCCATCAGCCCGGTCCATTCGGTTCCAAACTACCGAACGGCCCCTCGTTCGGTAGGCATAATCAACCGAACGAGGGGATTCAGGTGAACTCTCCCAAGCCTCTATAGCTGGAGGCTTTCAGGTACTTCATTCGCCGTTTCCAGGACCGACCGCAGGGCCCAATCGCATGGAGCCCAATTCGGCTAGTTCATCCAGTGCGGTCGGTCATTTTATTCCCTCCATGAAATTCCCGAACCCCTGGTCTGATCTGGGTGATTTTTGGATATGTTGTTCACCCAGATCAGGGCTACCAGGGGATGCATAATTTAAAGGGGTACCTCTAGGTTTAGGGGTACATCCAGAAACGGGGGGAATTGCTGTATTGGATAAGGGGATTATGATGCCGGCTGAGGGGAGGAGATGTGTGGGAGGTTACCAGGATAGGATTGGCTAATGTATTAATGAATGTAATCCCTCCCTTGCATGGGAGCATGCTATATAAGGCCACTGTCTGAATAAAGGTTGTCAGTTCTGCTCCTGATGCTGTGTGTCGTCCAGTCATTGGGATTGCTGTTGGGATACTATTGGATTATTTTGCCTGTTGGAAACTTTGCCTGTGGATTTATAATTTACTTGTTCCTGAGCCTCACTGGGATCTTAAGCGGAGATAACCTGGGAAATATTGCATCTCCGCTACAACCCTCTTACAAGGATATTCTTTTAGGGAATGTGTGACAAATAAGACACAAACACAAGTGTATAATAAAATGTATTGTCAATATTAATTTAAGGATACTGTTAGATTTGAAAAGGATATACACATTACACATTGTACATTAAATCCAGTGCATAATCAAAAGATACATAATAAAAGGGCAATACTTAAACATTTCAATAAAGGTCTTCCCCTTGTGCCTTCATCTTGGTAGTAATCGGGGACAGCCACCTGTGCTTGCTGCGCTGTCCTCTCCAAAAGAGACAAAGAGAGAGAGAGAGCGCAACCTCCTTGGCTGTTGTCCTTTTAAAGACTCATTTTTGCTGTCATAAACTACAAGTCCCAGAATCTCTTTTCCCTCCCAAAAGTGGTTTATCCCACCCTCTTTTTCCAGAGAGTTCTGTCTTTACACAAGTCTTTCCCTTTGATCTCTTCCCTCCAGCCATACTGTAACGTTCTGAAAGAAGTAACCAGTTGGTTAGGTTTCTTGGTAGATTGGACAGGATTGCTTGGGAAAACACACACTTCCATGGTTACACCTAGATGTTAAAACTTTAAAACTGGTTGGCAGGAGAACTCCTGGAGGGACGTAAGCTTTTGTCTTAACTGGGTGGTGTAAAATGCAACTGAACGCTTTGATCCTTATCACACTGTTATCAAGTAAATGACCCCAACTTGTGAAACCAGTCACATACACAGAAAGTTATATACAATATTGCAGTTTGGCATATCAATTTCTTACATCTTTAGCTCCTGGCTTCACATATGTGGGGTGGGAGGGGGGGAAGGGGAGGGGTTATTTACTAAACTAAAACTAAACTAAACTAAATAAAATTTAAGGTGAAAGCAGCCAAACTGAACGCATAGCTCACTTATTGTTCCTGTTTGACTATTTTCACCTTAAATTTGATATTCGCTTTGAATCCACTTTGAATTACTGACAATTCTCCCTTTAGTTAATAATCCTGTGATAATAAGCTGTTCATCTCATACTGTATTGTATATTATAAAGCACAATATATAAATTGCACAAAAGGTCAGTAAAAACAGAATAAAGAATAACTGACCTGTGTGGGACGTGTGTACCATTAAACTCAGGAGAAGGCTGGAGATTAGGACGGAACCCATGTCTGCTCCGGAGTTCTAGATCTGATACGAATGGATACAAATCCTACATAGAATATCAAAATATGCAGAACGAGGTGTCACCTAGCTTCGAGGTGGATACCAACCAATTAATAACCCAGCCCTTCATTTTAGGACACAATTCCATATTGAGTAATATTTGCTGAATGCAGGGAATAACTTTCAGTTTCACTATTGAGTGATTTATTTACAGCTCTGATATTTACAGTGTGATTTACTAAAGTGAGAATTCAAAGTGAATTTAAAATTTAAGGTCAGAATAGCTGAGATAGGAAGTATAGCTAACTGAGGGAGTTGTTTCCAATTCTAACAACCCTGTTTATCTAGAAATGGTTTCTGAACAAGTCACGTGGTGAGAAAAATTTAACAAAGTGTAAAATTTGCACGAAGTAAACAGTTAAATTATGGATTGACAACACATGTGACGTTAGTTCTCTTTACAGTATCATACCCCTTCAGGTAGGTATAGAGGCAATAAACCATTTTTTTAATAAAATCTGATTTTAAAGAAGAACACATAGATTATATTTTGGAAGGTACTCGTTTAATCCTTACTCACAATTATTGTTAGTTTAAAGATATGTTTTTTATGCAGACCTGTGGGATGGCAATGGGCACCAAATTTGCACGTTGTTATTCAAACCTGTTTATGGTATACTGGGGAGAGAAATACATTTACCAGGGTCATTCCTGGAGTGCAAATTTGGTGCCCTACCTCCATATCATAGATGACATTTATTTTATTTGGAAAGGCAATGATTTGGACCATTTTTAAAAAAATATCTTAACAGCCACTGGGGCATAATTTTAACATCCACATGGAGCCCCACTGACATACATTTTTAGCTCTAAATATCTGTGTACAAGATTTTACTATTAAGATGATGAATTATTTTAAACCTGTGTATGCAAACAGTTACATAGTGTCACGCCGCCAGCCAGTCCTGCTCCTGCTCCCAAAGCAATCCAAAGATTTATAGGCTTTGCCAGCTATTACCACAGATTTATAAAGGGATTCTCCTCTGTCATATCTCCCATTACCAGTCTCAAACGAAAAGGGGCTGAAACCCATGTCTGGCCCTCTGCAGCTTTGTCTGCCTTTGAAAAACTTAAATCTTTCTTTTCTACTGGCCCGGTGCTTGTACATCCGGACCCTTCCAAGCCTTTTGTTTTGGAGGTTGATGCTTCAGATACAGAGGATGGAGTGGTCGTCTCTCAAGGTGAGTCCCACGACACTCCACTCCATCCTTGTGGCTTCTTTTCCAAAAAACTATCCCCAGCAGAGGTTAATTATGACATAGGGAACAGGGGATTATTAGCAATAATCCTGGCTCTTAAAGAGTGGTGACACTTGGTAGAGGGTGCTTAAGTTCCCATTATGATTATAACTGATCATAAGAATCTGGCATATATCAGCAAGGCTAAACGTCTCTCGTCCAGACAGGCCAGATGGTCCTTGTTTCTTTCACGTTTTAATTTCATTATCACGTATAGACCTGGTTCTCGTAATACTAAGGCTGATGCCCTATCACGACAGTTCAAAACCGACTCCGATAGGGACCTAGAGGTCGTGCCCATCATACCCCCTGAACGTATAGTGGCTACCACCATTTTAAACATGTCCTCTTCTTTAATGGACAAGTAACATAATACCCAAATCCAGGCTCCTGACAACAAACCTAACGATAAATTGTTTGTGTCACCTACAGAGAGGACAGAGATACTCTCTTTGTACCATGACACCAAGTCAGCTGGTAATCCAGGAATTCGAAAATCTCTGTCTTCCATTTCTAGGCAGTTCTGGTGGCCTTTTATGCTTAAGGATGTTACTAATTATGTCAAAGCATGTACAGTTTGCGCTGTGGCTGAAAACCCTCCATCCAAGGGGTATACTACCATTTTAACAGTGGTAGATCATTTCTCGAAAATGGTTCATTTAATCCCTCTTCGTAAACTACCCACCTCAGCTGAATTAGCTCAGTTCTTCATTAGGGAGATATACAGGTTACATGGGTTGCCTCAAGAAATAGTGTCAGATCGAGGGACTCAATTCATTTCTAGATTTTGGAGGAAGTTTTGTTCTGAACTTGGAGTTACATTGTCTTTTTCTTCCTCGTATCACCCCCAGACCAACGGGGCTACTGAAAGGGTTAACCAGTCAATAAAGGGATTTTTGAGATGTTTCATATCACACAATCATGACAACTGGTACGATCTATTGTCTTATGCTGAATTTGCACATAACAACGCTACTCATGATTCTTCCCAGCATAGTCCTTCTTATATCACTAGTGGTAGACATCCTCTTGTTGTGCCCTTGCAGTTTCATGAGACTGGTTTACCTGCTCTTGATTGCCACCTCCACGATCTTCAAGAGAGGTGAAAGCACGTGCAGCGTGCTTTGTCTTTGGCCTCCTCTCGTCAGAAGGTCTGTGCTGACAAACGTCGCTCTATGGCACCTAATTATGTTGTTGGAGATAAGGTCTGGTTTTCCACTCGCAACATCCGGTTGAAAGTTCCGACCATGAAGTTGGCACCCAGGTTCATCGGCCCATATGTGATCTCCAGGAAAATTAATCCTGTGTCTTAAGCTTTGGCGCTGCCTCCGGCATTGCGTATCCCCCATGTATCCCTGCTTAAACCTTTGTTGTGCAATCGCTACGCTAGGCGCTCATTCCGTCTTTCACCTGTGTCAGTTCATGGCCAGGAGGAGTATGAGATCCAGGCGATTGTAGACTCTAGATGGTCGCAGGGTGTGTTGCAGTGTTTAATCCATTAGAAGGGTTCCTGCCCCCAACGTTCATGCTGCTCACTTGCTGCGCGCTTTTCATGTCCGGTTTCCCGATAAGCCGGCTCCTTCCCACCCAGTGGGCGGTTCTCGGGGAGGGGGTACTGTCACGCTGCCCGTGTATCGCTACAGCGGTATTCCCACAAACTAAGGGGAATAATGCCAAACACTCACTGGAGGTGACCTCTCCTCTCTCAGCAGCCTGGTCTGTATCATTAAGGACGCCGCCCACTGCAGCTGTGAATAATTTAAGGGTTTCCTGTTTAACCCTTAAAGGGCCAGATCAATTAATTTAATATGGGTGTATTATACACATAAGCTTGATCACATGTTTCCCTACAGCCTATCAGGAAATACCTTTAGCTATTTAAACCTAGTTTGTCCATTTCTCTGTGCCCTTTCGTGGTTTCCAGTTGGTTATCCAAGAGCCCGTTCCTTGTATTGATTTTTTGTGTATCTTACCTTGGCTTCCCTTATTGACTGTCCGATATCTGTATTCCTTGACTTTTGGCTTGGCTCCTGACTATTCTGATATCTCCATTCCTTGACCTTTGGCTTGTTTATCGTTTGCGTTATACCTTTGTCTTGGCTTTTCCATATCTTGTGTCTTTTTGCCTTTATACGTTAAATCCAGCCATTCTAAGGCCCAGTAATACGTCTTAGGTATTTCCTTTATATCTAAGTTCTGCGTGTTGGGCATCTACAGTAATCCTGACACATAGAAAGGACAAGTTGTCACCAGACCCATTGGCTAACCAAAATTCCTCAGGAATTCCTCACAATTGCACTGATGAATTAAATTACGTATCTGAAACTAATATAATTAAACAACAATTTATAGAGAAAGGATGTGATAAAACAAAACTAGAGAAATCCTCAGGTGAAGTAAGGAATATGCAATGAAAAAAACTTTTTAGCCTGTAAAAAGAAGGAGTAAAAGAGAAGAACCGATATTCCTTTTGTCTGCAATTTTAATGGCAACACTTGTAAAACTCAAAGAGCAATCGAAAAATAATGGCACATTCTACAGGATGACCCAATTTTGAAAAATATTCTACCAACCCAACCAAAAACAATATATAGGGGATCCAATAATATAAAAAGCAAATCACATAATCAGAACCGACCAACGAGACAAACATGCCCGAAAGGGGGGGAGTGTCTGCCCAAAGAATTGGAAGGCCAGTCTGGCATGAATGGCTGTATGCCAATCATAAAGGTTGGCCAACTAAGGGCAGCACCCCGAGCTTGGCATAAATACGTCTAATGAAGCGCTCGCTCAATGCTTTCCTCTCCTCTCCTTACCTTCTTACTAGCAGGCAGAAGCTCCTGGAATATAGGCTGGGACAGAAAAAAAGGAGTGTAAAAGGGAACATGACACAGTGTTAGAGAGACTGAATCAGCAAGACTATTTGAATAGTGCGCATAGTCAGCTTTACCTTAACTAATTTCATTGTCAGCCAGTTCAACCAAGTTTTGTTCCCCTATATCCCTCTTAAGTTTCCATCCTTACACAAGAGCATGTGAAGAGTACTAGAAATAATCAGTGGACCTATTCCATGGGCATGGGCCTGAAGCTGCAGCTCCTTCAGCCCCTATGTTAATCCGGCCCTGGGCTGCACCAGCAGTAGTTTCGCCACTGGACACAAGTCATCCCTTAGGATGTTTTTGGGAGATCCTGATCCATCATCTACAATGCAACACACTAGAGCCAAGTGGATTAATATCTTATACATAGGTATCTGCACTATTGTGTCTTTTTTTTTTTTTTTTTTTCCTTTGGTTGACCATTATACCCAGTACCAGAGACGTATTGTCTTATATTGCTTCACCTATTGTGTGTACTTTTTAATTGTTGATGTACGCAGAGAGATACCCATTAAGGATGGCATTGTGACTACCACGTTCCTTCCTGTTAAAATAACACAGAACTCTGAATTTATGTTGCACTTTACAAACTTGCAAACTTCTAGTTTTTTGCTCAAAGTTTTATGTAAAAAATCAAGTTCAAATTAGCGAGCTATATGTTGATCAGGCCAAATATTTAAGAGTGAATGGAAAACAATTAATGCTAAAAAGTTGCTCAGCAGAACTATCTTGTCTGGAAAACCAATGAATCATCCCGATTGTGCAACCTGGAATGAGAAATGTAGAGTCGTAGCATTCCATATAGCAATATTAAACAGGGGAATTTTTGATCCATAGTAAACTGG